AAAAAAAAAAAAAACAGAGAACAAAGAAGAAAAAGAAGAGGAAGCAACTGCATCAATAGTATTTGATATTGTTCAGTAACCATAATAGCAGACTTTTCTTAATAGTATGAGAATTTTTTAAAATTTATTATACTTTAAGTTCTGGGGTACATATGCAGATTGTGCAGGTTTGTTACATAGGTATACATGTACCATGATAGTGGTTTGCTGCATCCATCGCCCCATCATCTACATTAGATATTTCTCCTAATGTTATCCCTCCCCTCCCTAATCCTCCCACCCCCTGCTATTCCTCCCCTAGCCCCCCAAACCCCAGGCCCTAGTGTGTGATGTTTCCCTCCATGTGTCCATGTGTTCTCATTGTTCAACATCCACTTATGAGTGAGAGCATGCAGTGTTTGGTTTTCTGTTTTTGTGTCAGTTTGCTGAGAATGATGGTTTCCAGCTTCATCCATGTCCCAGCAAAGGACATGAACTCATCTTTTTTATGGTTGCATAGTATTCCATGGTGTATATGTGCCACATTTTCTTTATCCAGTATATCATTGATGGGCATTTGGGTTGGTTCCAAGTCTTTGCTATTGTGAACAGTGCCACAATAAACATACATGTGCATGCATCTTTATAATAGAATGATTTAGAATTCTTTGGATATATACCCAGTAATGGGATTGCTGGGTCAAATGGTATTTCTATTTCTAGATCCTTGAGGAATCGCCACACTGTCTTCCACAATGGTTGAACTAATTTACACTCCCACCAACAGTGGAAAAGTGTTCCTGTTTCTCCACATCCTCTCCAGAATCTGTTGTCCCCAGATTTTTAAATGATCACCATTCTAACTGGTGTGAGGTGGTATCTCAATGTGGTTTTGATTTGCATTTCTTTAATGACCAGTGATTATAAGCTTTTTTTCGTATGTTTGTTGGCCACATAAATGTCTTCTTTTGAAAAGTGTCTGTTCATATCCTTCTCCCACTTTTGGATGGGTTTATTTGGTTTTTCCTTGTAAATCTGTTTTAGTTCTTTGTAGACGCTGGATATTAGCCTTTTGTCAGATGGGTAGGTCGCAAAATTTTTTTCCCATTCTGTTGGTTGCCGGTTCACTGTAATGATAGTTTCTTTTGCTGTGCAGAAGCTCTGGGGTTTAATTAGATCCCACTTGTCTGTTTTGTATTTTGTTCCCATTGCTTTTGGTGTTTTAGTCATGAAGTCCTTGCCTATGCCTATGTCCTGAATGGTATTGCCTAGGTTTTCTTTCACGGTTTTTATGGTGTCAGACCAGATCTTTCTTTTAGGGTTTTATGGTGTTAGGCCAATTTCTTCTGCACAGCAAAAGAAACTATCATTAGAGTGAACCAGCAACCAACAGAATGGGAAAAAAAATTTGCGACCTACCCATCTGACTAATATCCAGCATCTACAAAGAACTAAAATAGATTTACAGGAAAAGCCAAACAAACCCATTCAAAAGTGGGAGAAGGATGTGAACAGACACTTTTCAAAAGAAGACGTATATGAGGCCAACAAACATATGAAAAAATACTCATCATCACTGATTATTAGAGAAATGCAAATCAAAACCACATTGAGATACCACCTCACGCCAGTTAGAATGGTGATCATTAAAAAATCTGGAGACAACAGATGCTGGAGAGGATGTGGAGAAATAGGAACACTTTTCCACTGTTGGTGGGAGTGTAAACTAGTTCAACCATTGTGGAAGACAGTGTGGCGCTTCCTCAAGGATCTATAAATAGAAATTCCATTTGATCCAGCAATCCCATTACTGGGTATATACCCAAAGAACTATAAACCATTCTACTATAGAGACACATGCGCACATGTGTTCATTGCAGCCCTGTGTACAATAGCAAAGACCTGGAACCAACCCAAATGCCCATCAATGATAGACTGGACAAAGAAAATGTGGCACATATACACCATGGAATACTATGCAGCCATAAAAAATGATGAGTTTGTGTCCTTTGCAGGGACTTGGATGAATCTAGAAACCGTCATTCTCAGCAAACTGACACAAGAACAGAAAACCAAACACCACATGTTCTCGCTTATAGGCAGGTTGTTGAACAATGAGAACAGGTGGATTCAGGGAGAGGAGCATCACACACTGGGGGCAGTTGGGAGGGGTGGCTGGGGAGGGACGGGGGGGTGGGGATATTGGGGAGGGATAACATGGGGAGAAATGCTGGATATAGTATGCACCTATGCAACAACCCTGCATGACCTGTACATGTACCCCAGAACCTAAAGTAAAATTTAAAAAAATTAAAAATTAAAAAGAAAAAGTGGGCCTCCCTGGAAACCATCATTCTCAGCAAACTAACATAGGAACCAGAAAACCAAACACCACATGTTCTCACTCATAAGTGGGAGCTGAACAATAAGAACACATGGACATGGGGAGGGGAACTGTTGCGGGGTAGGATACAAGGGGAGGGAGAGCATTAGGACAAGTACCTAATGTATGCGGGGCTTAAAACCTAGATGATGGGTTGATAGGTGCAGCAAATCATCATGACACATGTATACCTATGTAACAGACCTGCACATTCTTCATATGTAACCCAGAACTCAAAGTAAAATTTTTGTTAAAAAGTGGGTTTCCTGGTCTTGTTCCTGATCCTAGAGGGAAAGTTTCAACTTTTCACCATTAAGCATGATGTTAGCTGTAGGTTTGTCCTATATGAACTTTATTGTGTTGAAGAACTTTTATTCTGTATACAATTTGTCGCATTTTTATCATAAAAGGATGTTGTTGAATCCTTTTCTGTATCTATTGAGATGATCATATGGTTTTTTCCTTCATTCTGCTAATGTGGTGTATCACATTTATTGATTTGTATATGTTGAACCATCATTGCCTCCAGGGATAAATCTCACTTGATCATAGTAAATCGTACTTTTAATGTGATGTTGAATTAGGTTCACTAGTATTTTGTTGATGATTTTTACATGCATGTTCATCAGAGATATTGGCCTATAATTTTCTTTTCCTGTAGTGCCATTGTCTGGCTTTACTATAAAGGTAATGTTGGCTGAGGCCCCATTTTTGCAACATACTTTCTATTAGGCATTTACTATGTGCATTTTATGGGCATTGCATTACTTAATAATTAATATAATTTATGTAATCTATGTACTTTTCAAGGTGAAATGTATGCGTCTCACATTTTACTCCTCCTAACATAATAATTCTTTTTAAAAATCAGGGGAAATAGTTAAACTTCTTACTGTAAGAAAAGAACCAAATTATTACTTGTTTTATTTTTCTCTGTTTATATAATTAATTGAGGTGATTATAAACTTGAACTTTTTGATTGTTGTACAAAACATGATTTTAAGTACCTTTGAAATTATTGTAATAGTATATGAGTGAAATATTGTTAGTTAACAGTATTTGATTGTAAGAAATCACTAATTTGTGTTCTTCTCAAATTTGTTTTTGTCACCATTTCTGTCTCTTTTCTAGGTGAAGAGGTAGATATCAGTGACCTAGAAGATGCACTAAAAGACATGGGAATAGAAGTCACATACGATGACTACTTGCATTTAGTAAAAACTTTGCCACTTGATGGTAAGAATTTAAAACATACATATTTTTCAATGGGCTTCAGAGTACTTGATTATGAGATTTTTCTCCTAAAATGGTACAAAATTGTTACCAGGGTTTTTTTAAGTTCAAAGTATGGTAAGAAAGCAGGTGAATCTGAGATATTCTCCTATTTTTCATTTGCACAAATTTATTTGTATTAAATTTAAAATTCCATATATGTATCTTCCCAATATTTATGGATATTTTAGACGTATTATACCATAGTTCTTTGGAAAATTACCCAGCATCCTATAAAACTCACACTATGTTGATACAAACAAAAGAGGTTGAGATTCTATTTCTAGTTTTAAAAGTTCTTACAATTACTAGATTTTTGCCAAAAAAAAAATAAATCTGGGTCATTTTATTTTTATTATGATAAACAGTAGCTATTATACTCATTCAGTCCAATAAGACATGTGTATTGTTGTCATTGATTACATTAATGAGCCTGATAGTACAGAGGAGGATGGAAAATGGAAAATTAAGAGGGGTATAAGGAAAGATGTTAGAGATAAAGGTAAATGAAATGGGATATAAATTTCAAAATGTTTAAGCCAATAACTACGGCTTTTGTATAAGTGTAAACAGTTCTACCTCATTAAAGTGTCTCCAAATAACCTTCATTACTAATTGAGAGAAAAATAGGTAAATTTCAGATAAAAATATTTAAAACTCCATCTTTTTGAAATTATGGGATTAGGGGAAGAATTGTCACATTTTTGTTGTTTAGCAAGTCTCCTTTTATTGTTCTCTGACCTGAATTGTGTCTTTTCTTACAGCTGAAGGAAAGGTGTACAAAAAAAGGCTGCTGGATGGTATAAAGACTATTAAAAGTAAGTGGAAAGTATAGTGAGAAAGCAGGTGAATCTGAGATATTCTCTTGTTTTTAATTTATACAAATTTATTTGTATTAAATTTAAAATCTCATATATGTATCCTTCCAATATTTATGGATATGTTAGATATATTATGCCACAGTTCTTTGGAAAATTACCCAGTATCCTATAAATCTTGCACTATGTTGATATGAACAAAAGATGTAGTCAAAGGATAAGATTCTATATCTAGTTTTAGTGGTGACCCTATTTGTACCCTTAACTAGATCTGATAAAACTTTATGTCTTGATGATTCAAGTGATAACCACATATGAATTAAGAAGGATTTTTTTCACATCTTAGTATTATTTTTAATTATATTTTGTCTCTCTTAAGGAGGAAAAGTTGATATAAATAACTTGGATAAATTTCTGGAAAATATGGGGATTGAGCTCTCAGAAAAAGAACTTGAAGATTTTTCAAAAGACCTACCTGTTGATGGTGAGCATTATAGATAAAAACTTATTATGTTTAAGACAGTTAAGATTTGAGAGCATACATAGACCAATGAGAGTGGTTAATTGATATCAGTAGAGTATTTTTAAAAGCCTAGAGCAGAATTCACATCAGATGAAAACATACTCCCTCTCTTTAATTCAAGTCCAGCAAATGTATTCCATTATGAATAATGAAAATTGGTGAGGGTACTAACAGACCACTCTCAGGTCAAAGAATGAAGAAAAGAAGAAAAATAGAATGTGAAAGATTTAAAAGATATTGTGAGAGAAAAGAAAAACTGTCTATGATGAGGAATGATTAAAATTTGTTAATGGTGACTTTTAACATATATGATTCAGCTGTTGCAAAATAGAAAGATTAACATGGAACAGAGGGGCATGGAATAGAAATGACTTTAGAAATGTTAAGAGATGTAACTATGAATAGTCACCCTGATATTACCATTATAATAGGTTACTACATGTAATATGAGATTAGATTTTCAATATGTTAGTAAAATGAAAATTTTTCTGGAGGAAAAAATTGTGCCAATATTGATTCAAGAAGATATGAAAATATGGATAGACCAATAATCATAGTTGAAAAATACTATCAAATAATTTTTCCTATAAACTCATCCACCACCACCCACCCATCCCTCCAACAAAAGATAATAACCTCAAATAGTTTTGAAAGTAAGTTCTTTCAAATTTTCAAAGAATTTTCATTTTAATACTATCTAAACTGGTCCAGAGGACTCCAGCTTGAGTTGATAAAAAAAACAAAATCTAGTTAGTTTTCCTTTCCTCTAATACCTAAAAAAATGAACAGAATTTTTAAAAGTAAAAAAATCAGCAAAGGATATTCAACATAAATTAAATAATAACAGGGGACCAATTTAATGCCATACATGTTAAATGGGGACAGACAAGGAAATTAAGACTCTAGACTGGAAACAATAGTACAGCAGAGCTAGTCTCTTCAAAACCATTCTCATTCCTCAGAAACTAAACTGGTAAGCTGCAAAATCCAGAAAATTCACTCTAATATGCCCAGACCTGGGGTAAAGCAAATTGAGTAAATAAATTTTTTTCTCTCTCAACTTACTAGGAAGAAGTAGAAACAACTGTTAGGGATAAATTAATAAAGAAGGGGGAATGAACAATATAAATCACTCGTTAACGGACCTAAAAGCTTCAGGGTTGTCAGATGAATTTGGGGTCATGTATGAAGCCCAAGAGTACCATCCCATGGGCAGATCTAGGGTCTGATTGTCCTTAACAAAGTTCATTCCACTTAATTGGAGGTGTTAGAACAAATGAACACTCTTGGGTCATTTAACCAAACCTCAAATGTAACAGTAGAGTTGAGGTATTGCAACAAAGACCTCACCACACTTCACCATAATACAATAAATTACAATAAAAATGGGTAGAACAATTTTCCTTAAATGCAGCTTTCTGAAAAAGATACATTGGTCTCAGATAAGGTAGGAAGGGTAGTAAAAGTTACATTAATTCCTGAGAATAAAATGAAGATCTGGACAGAGCTGCTGCAGCATACACAGCATGAAAAGAAAAGACATGGCAACAATTCTAGCATTAACACAGAAAAAAAAAAAAAAAAAACAGAGAAAGGAAAGAGGGAAGGAAGAAAGATTGGATGAAAGGAAGATAGCATACAAAAGACAAACAACTCGGTCAGCAGAAAATATGTCCCAAGAAACAACCACAAAGAAGTTCTTCACAATATTTCTTACTACAGAATAACTTTAACAGATTCGATAAAAAGAGAGTTCAAAAATAAGATGGCAAAATAACATGATAATACTAAAAGGGAAAATGCGTACCTAGAGAAACAAAATGAGTACCAAAAACAGCACTATAGAATTACTAAATAAATGTGAAACACCAAAGTAAAAATAAATAAGACTGAAAAGCGTATTACTGGCAGAGAGAGAACTTAAGATTTTACACTGTTGGTGGGAGTGTAAATTAGTTCAACCATTGTGGAAGACAGTGTGGTGATTCCTCAAGGACCTAGAAACAGAAATTCCACTTGACCCAGCAATCCCGTTACTGGGTATATATCCGAAGGACTATAAATCGTTCTATTATAAAGACACATGCACACGTATGTTCATTGCGGCACCGTATAATAGCAAAGACCTGAAACCAACCCAAATGCCCAACGATGATAGACTGAACAAAGAAAATGTGGCACATATACACCATGGAATACTATGCAGCCATAAAAAAGGGTGAGTTATTTTAAGACCATTGGTACATACAAGTTTAGAATTGCTCCATCTTCCTGGTGAATTAAAATTCTTTTCATTATCTCTAGAAATCATTTTTTTCTTAAAGCCTAATTTGTTTTAATTTAACATAAATAATTAATTTGCTTAGTGCTTGCACAGCATATATCTGTCTAGCCTGTTACATTCAATCTCTCTGAATCCTTGTATTTTAGACAGTTTAAATTTTTGAGTTTTAGAGGCCTAGATTCCTTCTTTGGTGAATTTTACCCAAAATTTAGGTTAAAAATAATGCCCATCTTACTCAACTGTTCAAAGAATAGAAAAAGAAATATTTCCCAATTTTATTTTATGAAACCAGCTTAACCTGGTACCAAAATTTGATAAAGGTCACACAGAAAAGAAAAATTACAAGCTAATCTCTCTTATAAACAAACTGCAAAGTTTTAAACAAAATATTAGTAATCTGGCTCTATCATTTATGTTATTATAGGTAGTAGTTATGAAATTACTGGCATAGTTGTGGTTGCAACTCTTTTACTCAGTGCTTGTATTTGTACCACCAGTTCAATATTCTCTTCCTTTCCATAATTGCTTTCCTTTTCAATTGACTGTTTCTTATTATTTTTCTTTGTTAGTTTAGAAGTTTTAAAGGTTACTCTAGAAATCATAACATGCATTCTTCATTTATTATAATCCAAATTATATTGGATTTTTATTTATCATCCAAGACAATGCAAGGTTCTTAGAATATTTTAACTTCATTTATCCCCTTCCCAATTACTGTTTTTGTTTTACACAATCGTTGTTTCTGTAGAATTATTTATATGTTATCATTTCACTTCTCCTCATCCTTTCCTTTCATTCTAGATCAAAGGCAATACTGAATGTTGAGCAAAATAAAATTTTTTTCACCCTACTCCTAAAGATTCCTCTAAAATTTCACAATATCAGGGGCAAAGAGAAATGTATTAATAGTTATCAGGAGAATAAACAAACTACACACAAAATGATAAAAGAATCTTATTTGTATTAGCAACATCACATTCAGGAAGAAATAGAAAAATATGTATCTTCAAAGTGCTAGAGAAAAATAACTGCGAGCACCAAATGCTCAAGGATTAGAGTGAAATAGTCATTTTCAGGCAAACAAGAAATATAAAAGTTTACTAGCCGTGGACTTTCTCTAAACAAATTACTAAAGGATGTATTCTAATAAAAATAAAAATTAATACAGGAAGAAATAGTGGGATGCGTGAAACAAAGTGAAAGAAATAATTTATTTTTAAATCTCAATAAGTAGTGCATATGCAAAAATGTAATGTCATAGTCTAGAACTAAAACTCAAGATTATATCAATATTCTAGTTGGGGTCAGGTGTCATGGGTGGCAAAAGCCAAAAGAACAGACTCACTGTTGCTCTGTGACTGCTCCATTTCTTACAGTTGATGAGAAGGTTGATCTGAAAAACATGATGCCGAGAATGAAAGATTTTACAGGTGAGGTTTTTTTGTTTTTTTTTTCAGGAGGTTTACTGTCTCCTCCATTGAGGTCTTAGTACTCTGTGACACTCAGCTGTAGAAGGACACTTCAGCATTGGGTCATTCTCCATGATTGGCATGTACTTATCAGCCAAGTAGACCCAGTCACAGTACATCCTATATCTCCAGTGGGAGAGAGGCAAAATGCACTCCAAGGCTCTAAAGAAGGGCAGGTTCTCAGTAGGCGGCATTATTATTATTAGCATCGTATTTTATAATAATAGACTATTTTAGCACACTTTAAGATTTACAGAATTGAGCATATTCTATAGAGTTCCATATACCCATCCTTCCACTCCCCTTTATCCCAAGCACATAGTCTCCCTACTATTAACATCTTGCGTTAGTATGGTACATATGTTACAATTAATAAACCAACATGGATTCATTACTATTAAGTATAATCCATAGTTTACATTAAGGTTCACTCTTTGTGTTGCATAGTTCTGTGAGTTTTGACAAATGCATATAGATATGTATCTACCATTATGGTTTTATACAGAATAGTTTCACTGCCCTTAACACCCGTGTGTTTAACTTATTCATCTTTTCCTCCCTTCCTTTCCCCAAACCCCCTTCCTCTACTTTGTTAAATGGGTTATGAGAGGCAGGATAATAGTCTAAAACCCTAGAATATTAGCCAGAGTGGCTTTGCCTCTTTTTTTTCCCCCCATTTATTTATTTTATTGCATTTTAGGTTTTGGGGTACGTGTGAAGAACATGCAAAATTGTTGCATAGGTACACACGTGGCAGTGTGATTTGCTGCCTTCCTCCCCATCACCTACATCTGGCATTTCTCCCCTTCCTATCTCTCCCCAGTTCCCC